AGATATACAAACAAGTTATAGTTTTTCCCTTGACTGGATCACACAGAAAACATCTTGGGTGCTATACCCAGCAATGACATGGAGATATATTTATTTATAACAGAGTTTTCTCTGACAGTGGGGAAAAAATAACACTTTCTCCTACTTCAAGCAAAACTGGACAATAACAGGTTCAGGAACTGCCTATTCTAATTTTCCAGGACAGGATCTTCCTGTCTGGGTATTTATACAGCAGCTACCACTGTGGTATCTAAACCCCCTATTGATTTATTAAAGTGCACTCATAAAGCACTCTCTATTTTTTTTTCCCTTTCTCTGTTATTTTATGTGGTGTTTTTGTGGGAAAGCGAGGTCAATGGAAGAATGTTTTACATTTTGTTCTGAAACTGCTGAGGTTTACAGCCACTGATGTGTTCCAGAAGCAACTCTCAAAATGTGCACCAGTAGCCAAAACACCTTTGTCTCCTTCTTTTGTGAGTTTCCTTCTGGAATTTTGTGAGGAGTGAAGCTTCCCTCTGCCATCTCTCTGATAACATGGATAAAGCACTACGACATTTTTTGGAAACTGAGGAGAAAATACTTGATTTCTTGTATTAAGTTTTCAGTGCCAGCTCAAATACAAGTTTACTTCCAGCTGTTGCTTGTTCAGGAGGTGGATTGCTGTGTTTTCTATCAGAATGTATTACATATACGTATATACATATACATGTACATGTACATGTACATATACACACATATATATATATATATATGTGTATTTAAAAAATATATATTTTTTAAGCTTAAGAGACACTTGTCTATTTCAGTCTGATGTAGCCACAAAGTCAGGAGGTGTTGGGCTGGGTAGGCAGGGGTGTCACTATTTGAAGATTCAGCCAGAGCTCACCAAATGAAGGGCAGTAGTAATGTGGCTGAGCCTGAGACATGACATTTTGGGTGCCCACAGAGCATGTAGGGAGTAGGTGGAAGCACCTTCTCTTTAGACATGTGAATAAAAGCAGAAAGCTTGAATGAAAGAAAGAATTGCACCTGCTTTACTGAGATCTAGCAAAAAAAAAATAAAAAAAATAGCTGTTCTTCAATTGTTGAGTTGTTCTTTAACCATGAAGACAAAAGACTAAAAAAAAATGGAGTATATCTTGGGAATGGCAATATTTGAATGAGGTGATCCAGGGCTAAAACCTTCTTGTTTGCTTCTGGAGTTCTTGTCCATGATATGTCAGAATTTTCACTCTTCATGGGGAGGTTGGACAGAATGAGGCTCAAACCAGGTCCCAGAGGGAAGTGTACACAGTGGTAGTCTCAAATGAAAAGGGCAAAGAGTAGTTGGAGGAAGGTGTGAGACATGGCCAAGTTGTGGTGTTGCATCATCTGAGGGAAGGCAGCAGAACCTCAGCTCTACTGTGCCACGTAGGGGGGCAGACAATGGAATTATGATGGATGGATGGATGGATGGATGGATGGATGGATGGATGGAGGGATGGATGGATGGATGGATGGATGATGGATGGATGGATGGATGGATGATGGATGGATGGATGGATGGATGGATGCAAGGATGGATGCAAGGATGGATGCAAGGATGGATGCAAGGATGGATGCAAGGATGGATGGATGGATGGATGGATGGATGGATGGATGGATGGATGCAAGGATGGATGCAAGGATGGATGCAAGGATGGATGGATGGATAGATGGATGGATGGATGGATGGATGGATGGATGGATGCATGGATGGATGCAAGGATGGATGCAAGGATGGATGGATGGATGGATGGATGGATGGATGGATGGATGGAGGGATGGATGGAGGGATGGATGGAGGGATGGATGGATGGATGGATGGATGGATGGATGGATGGATGGATGGAGGGATGGATGGATGGATGGATGGATGGATGGATGGATGGATGGATGCAAGGATGCAAGGATGCAAGGATGGATGGATGGATGGATGGATGGATGGATGGATGGATGGATGTCAAGTCTGATGCTTTTCAACACTGTTGCTAATCTTTAACTCCAAAGATCTGCAGTGAAATCCAGACCTTGCCTGGCTCTGCAATAAGGGATCTCTGTCCTTGATGTGCCATAAGAAAGGGAGATAGTTATCCATAACACAACTAGTTTCTGCAGTCATTCTTATCTGCCCTCAGAGCCCCCAGAGTCCTGGCTGACTCTGCCTCTCTGCCATGCTGGTAAGGATGGGACAGGATGAGGAATCTTTAGGGAAGGATTGTCACTACTGGGCAAAGCTGGTTACTATAGCATTGCAGGAGGGTTCTCAGCTATGTATGTGGACAAGGTAACACAAGAATTTTTTTGTAGAAAGAAGCAGGATTCAGGGCATCCAGAATGCATTTGCCTGAAACTTGTATACATAAAAACCAAAGCAAACTAGGGATACTTGATGTTAATAAATATTTTTGGGCATTCTAAAACAAATTCAAATTGAATTGGTACCTACAAAACCCAATGTGTTGCAAATTAAAACCTCTATAAGCAAAACCTATGCCAGTGCTTTTTTGGGTTTTTTTTGGAATTAGTATGTATTAAGTGCAGCCAGCACTGGTTCATCATTGTTCTGTGCTGATACTGGAACAGACATAAATATAATCAAATTCAGGTTTCTTTTTCTCTCTCCCCTTCATTTCCATTCTGACCAACGCATTTTAATTCAGTCCATATGAATGAAGTTCAGCCATTAATTTTATATAACCTGATCTGTGCCACAGAATAAATAATACAGCATTTGTTACCAAATTAGAACACTCTAACTGAAATAGATATGTGCATTTAGTAAAGCCAAGCCATAATTTGCTTGAACCAATATTAGTAAGGCAGCCAACATATGGGATTTTAAACCCAAAGTACATTTGTAGATGAGCTTTTATAATGCAAATGGATATATATTTTTCCAGAGCAGTGTATATTCAATAAAAACCACCAGCTTCCTGAATGTCAGCTGACACAGCAGTGGATAACATGCTATCTTTCTTCTTTTCAATTTCATCTTTATTGAACATCTTTCTATATTTGTTTAGTGTGATTTATTTTGTTTCTGATAGAAACACTTTCAAAAGCAGAATTCTTGCCTTTGATTCCAGGTTCATTCTACAGTTTCTCAGTAGCAGTCCAATGTTATAAATTAATCTGGAAGGGAAGGCAACTTTCCAATATATACCTGTAGTTATTTTTCAGTTCTCCCTGTCCTTGACATCTGTGTATTCTGAAATAGTCATGGAATGGAGCCACCCAAAGGAAAAAGCTTTTAGAAAAGAGGTGCTGAGACATTTCTACCTGGTTGGTCTGAATTTAGTAACTTATTTTGAGCACCGATCTGCACAAGAAAAACTGTTATTATATTGGTTGAATATACTAATCCAGAAAAGTGCATCTGTCACTCACATTTTCAGAGGCTGAAAAGAGAATGTATTCTTGCATCCCTTGCAGGTTCTGTTGCTAAATTAAAAAAAAAAATGAACTGTTTTGGTGTGGTTCACCAGCACCAGAAATCTGTAGCTCATACTAATTTTGGAGGAGGTGAGAAATAAAGTCAGTTATAATAAACTGCATAATTGTGTGGCTGCATAGTGAAATTGCTTCCTAGCTCCAGGTGTGTTTCACTCTCACTCCTGGTGAGAATAAGCAGCCAGCCCTCCCTGCATACTGAGTCTGGAAAACCTGGTCAGACACACTGTGCTTCAGCAGACCTTTTGAGTTTCAGGTTTCTGGATGTATAATATCAGACTAAAATAAACACAAAGGGTTCACCACCAAAACCCTGGGCTGCTTGTGCTTTAAGACATTACCCAAAAGTTCAGTGGAGGAAAATGTGAACCCCCTAATTATCTAAACCAGCCTTGGCTCTTCCCCTTCAGATTTTGATGTCTGGCACATGTTACAGCAGAAGTGGCTCATGGATAGAAGAGACCCAACTAAGCTGAGCAGCCAGAAATGTATTCCAGCTAAACTACATTACAGTTTTCCCTCACTTTTGAATGGTGTGAAGATTTAATTTCATTTCTAGCATGTAAAACCTGCTGGTATCTCTCATTAATTTTGCTGCTCAGAAATTTTGAAGAGGATATTTAACTTCATTTTTACATAATAAAACTAAAAGTTTGTTGTGGGTGACGTTGGTGCAGTTGCAAGATTATTGCCTCACTTTGCAGAGCTTGTTTGGAGGTAACTTCTGCTTTGACAGTAAATAAATCAGTACAATTATACAAACAGAAAGGTGAGGACAGACTCTTTTGCAACAGGACAAGGGGTAGTGATTTTAACCCAAAGGAGAGTAGAGTTAGGTCAGATTTTTACAATGAGGGTGGTTAAACACTGGCAGAGGTTGCCCAGAGCGGTAGTGGATGTCTCATCCCCAGAAACATGAAAGGCATTTTTGACAGGGCTCTGAACAACCTGATCTTGTTAAAAATGTCCCTGTTCATTGCAGGGGGACTGAATGATCTTTAAAGCCCCTTTCAATCTCACCTGTGAGTCCATTATTCTATGGAACTCCATCACCAATCTCTTCATCCATGTTCTTAAAGGATGTTTATATGCTGTTCTACCACATGAATTTTCTCATCTCAACAATTGTTTTTACCCAAAACAACTATGTACTTAGGGTACTGAGAGCTTTAATTACAGCCATCAAAAGCTTAAACTGAGCACTGAACTGGAAACAACACAGAAGATCACTCCTTTATCTTTCATCTGCTCCTCATGGAAACCAGGCCAGTTACCAAACCATATGTTTGAATTGATGATCATCTAACCTACTTTCACATTTCTGTTCTGCCAGTGTCTGCATCTAAACTTAAATGTCTTAATTAAAGACACTTTATATATACATTTATATATAATCTATACTCTATAATCTATAATCTATAACCTATAATCTATAACCTATAATCTATACTCTATAATATGTAATATGTAATATGTAATATGTAATATGTAATATGTAATATTATATAAATAAAATATTAAATTCTTACTGTAATCAGTGCAGGCAGTCAATATGGATAATATGGCTTACAGATGCAGAATCACAGGACTTCCCTCAATGCAGGTGATTTTATCTTCTTTTAGGATGAGAAGGAGTCACATTTTCTTGACCATGAAGCTTCTGTGTCACAGTGCTACTGGTAAACGAGACAAGCAAAGCAGGACAACTAGAATACTTGGTTGGAAAGATTAGGGTGAAATCCAGACCTCATGGAAGATTCAGGTGAAATTCATGCGGATTTCAGCTCCCAGACACTCTTTATTTCTCGGGAAGCATCAGTTTTCTGACTGTTCTTGCTTAACAATGCTACACTGACACTGCTGGGACTATGCCAGAATCCTCACATGAGAGTTTGGCCCTGAATTACCCATTTATGACACAAGGACAAGCAGTAATAGTGCAGACCCACATTAAAGAAGGACGTTTGTTTCTTATGAAATCAGTTAACAGACACAAAACCCACTTGAAATTAATAGAACCTAATTGAAAGTAATGGAGAATTACCTGAAAATGTAGCTCAAGATGAAATTAATTGAAGGTAATTGATAATGACTGGAATTAATAAAAAATTGAAACAAATTAGGCTTAATTGAAATTTATTGAAAATGAATTAAACTCAATAACTCAAAACCTATTAAATTTAATAGAATCTAATTCATATTAAATGTATGCAATGTTTAATAGTAACATAACATCCTTAAAAGGGATTTTTATTGGATGTTTTATTTGTATAGTACTTTTCTAATATAAGAGTAAGAATAAATTTTAATGGAAAAAAAATGATGCAGAGCATAGAAACTTCAGACTCTTTTTGGAATAGTATGGGAATAGTGTGTGATACTGATAACAAAAGTTCCTGACAGGATTTAGTAGGATTAAAATAAAGTCTTATGGATTTTATCTCATGGTTGAGACTTTTATTAGAGTTTAATGAGAACATTCTACCCATTAAGATGTTGGCTTTGATTTGATAAATAACTTTTTGACCAGATATGGAATCCAGCATCTGTCCTCCTTGTGAGTGCACTGTGAGAACTCGTATTTGTTTTCTTTAATGATGGAACATTTTAATTCTTATGAGCTTGCTTACAGATTTCCTTCTGTTATATCACCAGCATTTTTTGCCAACTATTTCCATGTCCCTCAATGTTTGTCAGCTGAAAGAACTAAATACTTTCTCACATAAACCTATTAATATAGATACAGTCATCTTAGTGTTTGAATTATACTCTTTGTGATGTGTGTTCTTGCAGTAACTTTCAGGTAGCCGAAGGAAAATATGATTTTTTTTTTTTACTGAATTGGCACAGAGATTCCATTATTTCAAGAATGCAAAAGACAAAGGAAACAGAAAAAAATGGGAAAAAGAAATGCAAAAAACAACAACAAAAAAAATGACCAAAACCAGAACATAATGTACGCTGAGTATATCTCAAACTAATAAAAATACTTGAGGTATTTCTAAAGGTTTTATTTCTAATTAGGACATAACATATAAGTGTACATGAAAGACCAATACCTCCCAGGAAAGCTGGAAAAGCTGATATTGTTTTTGAAAAATGAACATATATCCCTGTTATAGTTAAAAAAAAGAAGGAAAAAATATAAAAAAATACTGAGAGATATTTTATAAACATTCATAAATGCTTAACAGAGGCCTGGAAGTGTATCAGCGGTGGGAAACAAATCCAGATTTCCTATTTTCACCTGTGCACATCCCTACTGCTCATACATATCTGCCAGTGTGCTGGAAAAGTCAGGCAAAAACAACAGAAGTCCTTTACTTCATTCATCTTTCTTTGTGGCATGTAAACTCATGAAGTTCAACCCTAGTTTTAGGAGGCAAGCAAGCTGGGATTCAACTGAAAGACTAGGATGCAAAAAGGGTGAATATAGGTTTTCACAAACATGCTTCTGGCATCATTCCCACTGTAACCATTGTAGATCTAGTCAGTACAGCTCACTAAATGAAGGTGATTGTCTTCTTTACATCAGGATGGCTAAATCTGCACCCACTGAACATCTTGGGGCTTGGTTCTGTCCTACACATAGTGCTGACTGCCACTGAAAACGTGCTGGGCTCCAAGCTCCCCCTGGCACACATCACCCAGGATCTACAGGGTACTTCTGGTCATTTGGAGATTACTCAAGATGCCTTAGGAATCTCAAAGAGTGTTTAGTTTTTGTGCCAAAGCTGCTGACTCATGTCCCTGTCCTCAATGACAATGCACTCACTGAGGCCACACGTAGTTATCTACATGCCAATCTCTAAATTTATGTACTTTAACCAACAGGTTGAATCATACCACTAGCTGAACATGGTCATTAGAATCAGATTAGAGAGTACTCTGTGTGCTCCAGAAAGAATTTTGTTTTGGGAAATATGTTTGTTTATGCTAAAGTGTAGGGATGTTTTCTGACAAGGACAAATTTAAAAAAAAAAAAAAGGAAAAAGTTGGGAGTCCTGGGGAAGAAAAGATGGGGCATAAAAAAAGGAACAAACTAAAATTGGAGACAGAAGAATAAAGAAAAGAAGATAGAAGGAATGAGGGCTGGATTAAGTCTACAATTGCCATCCTGTCTGCACAAAACAGGTTTCATGTATTCTCAGACAAATTCCCAAGAATTTGCTGTGACATCTCTAGTTGGTTGTGCATTGTGCTAGCAATAGCTAGGTCTTAAGGCTAGCAGGAACCAGGCAGAACTGCCTCCACCTTAAAGCTCCCAAAGCATAAATAGCTTTAGTAGCAGTTGTCAGGGGAGTTCTGATGGGAAACAAAGCACATTGTGAAGCTGTGGAGAGTACCGTGAAATGCACCTCAGGAATGAAACCTGAAACTAAAATCCATCTATCCCCATTTGTCACTGTGAGTAAGTTAATGGCCTGCTCTGCCCTATGCAGTATAGGAGACAAAGCTTCTTTGATTTACTGATTATTTGGGTAATGTTTGAGTCACATGCACTGCTAGGTAACACTATGCATTCTCCCTGCCCCCTACAGCCTATTTACTGACTTCTGGCTTCCTGCTGAGACATGATTTTATTTGATTAAGCACTTCAGTTTAATTGTAAAATGGAAACAGCAACATAAGACATGTAATCCCTTTGAGCCAAAAAAAAAACACCAAGTAACTTTTGGGTGGGAAAGGGCACATAAATTTATTTCCATGTCCTGTGTTCAACTAGAAGCATGTGGGATGGTAGAGGAAAGGAAAATAAATCGAGTCCTTTGAGTATTTAAGTTGGTCTGTGTAACCTCTTGCAGCGCTGCACTGCCTTCCCACACCACAGTCTCTATTTATCTTCTGATCTGCTCCTCTTGGAAAGAGTTTGGGAACATCATCTTGTTAATTCCCACCAACAGATGTTGGATCCTCTCACAACATATGTAGAAGTTGCCTATCTTGTTGCCCATCAGATTAGTCACAAGCTTAATTTTTTTTTTTGGCTTTCCATGAAATTAACAACGTCTTAAAAGCAGTGAATGGAGAATAATGGAATGGACCTCTGAGTATAACACACACCAGAGATCTGGCTAATTAGAATTTTCACAAAAGTAAGCACAATTAGCTTAAAAAAAATAAACAAGATTCTGCTGACAAAAAGGGTTTTTTTGTCCCCTCTTGCATTCTGTGAAAAAAAAGAAAATAAAACTTAGTTTTATTGGATCACAGAATCACAGGTTTGAGCTGGAAGGGACCTTAAAGTTCATCTCATTCCAACACCTTGCTGTGGGAAGGGACACCTTCCACTATCCCAGGTTGCTCCAAGCCATTCCAAAGTGACCAACCTGCCCTCAGGAATGGGACAGCCACAGCCTCTCTGGGCAGCCTGTGCCAGATCCAGTGACTACACTCACAGCCAAGAATTTCTTCCAAATACCTCCTGTAAACCAGCCCTCCCTCAAGACCACTCCCTCTTGTGCTGTCCCTGCAGGCCTTGTCCCCAGTCCCTGGGCAGCTCTCCTGGAGCCCCTTTAGGCCCTGCCAGGGGCTCTCAGCTCTCCCTGGAGCCTGAATACTTGTGCAGGGGAGCAGCCCCAGCTCTTCAGAGCAACTTTTTGATTTCCTCTGGACTTGCTCCACCAGCTCCACGTCCTTCTGTTTATGGGGGCCCCAGAACTGGAGGCAGCTCTGGAGATGGGAGTCTCACAAGAATGGAACAGGGGAGCAGAATCCTCTCCCTTTAACTGCTTCCCACACTCCTGGGGGTGCAGCTCAGGACATGGTTGGTTTCTAGGATTCCATTAACATACCCATAAGTACATTTGGGAGGAGGCAGAAACCTTGATGTAAGAATCAGGATTGTGCTAAATCAGCTAGAAACACATATGCAAGAGTTTTGTGACCAGTAAAAGCATGTTGCATATTTAATGTGTTTCTGAGTCCAGTCTGATTATTTACCAAATGGCTTTGATTGGCCAAGGAGATTTCCGAGGAGATGGGTCAACTTCTGTGATTAGCTCTGCTCATTCAAAATTGCTGTTTAGATATTCTGAACTGTCACATTGCATCCTAGCATGAAAATACACTTTTGCCCTTTCCCATAAATCTTGAATTACATTATAAGACAGCTGAACATTATTCAGTATCGGCTTCTTCCTCCTTGTTCTTCTTTTCCTTGTATTTATTTATTTATATCTTGATAATAACTTCCTTGGGGGCATTGTATAGGCAAGACATGTATTTTGACCTCCTCCTTTCCCCAGGAGTGCAATTGCCTTGTGGTAATTATAAGATGTCGTCTGTTATTATGAAGGTGCCTTATTGCTCAAACACATCAGGGATATCTGATAATGTAATTACTTCACCTTATAAAGCTGTTATAAATCATGCATGGGGAACACTTTTTTTCATATTAAAGCTGTCTGAAGAATTATCACACTGCATGGAATGGGGATATCACGGTATGGCTAGCACCGTGTTTTGTAGGCCCGTGGTAGGCAATGGCAGTATTAAAATATATGACATGAAAAATTAAAGAAAACACATTCAGAAAGCATGGCTTCTTTGTAAAGCTTTAGGAGAACAGGTTATCTTATAAGTGGGCATATTCCAACTTGTGCTTTCTGAGGCATGAATAACTGCTGCACATTTGTGTTTTTCTTTTTTCTTTTTCCTTGACTTTTCTCCT